TCGAAAGAGACATTTATCGGGAAGTGAGCACATTTCGACTTCCTTATTTTGTCTTTTAGCATCTAAACTCAGTTCTTCCAGTATGCTTGGATGTAGCGGCTACTCTGTGCAATCACTCTTTTTTTATTGCATAATCAATCGAATTTTGCAGGCTGGCAACGTGAAATGTGTGGATGATATCCGAAGGATGAAGGATTTGTTGCAGTGTTATTTCAAGGAGACTCGGAGCGACGAAGCATTTTCCTGGGAGAGCGTTCCGGACTCTGATGCTCTCGCAGTGCTAGACGCGGAACGAAAACAAATTGTTACATTCCTTGTTGAAAATGATTTCTCGAAGACGATGGGAGAGCGCTACGGAATGTTAGTTTCCCCTAGTAGTTCCCACAAACTGCAAAAAGTGTGGTATTTGTTCTACAGACCATATGAATTACCCATGTTCCTTGGATATTTTCAGTTGGCGTGCACTTTTACCTTTGATGTTTCTACGTCATATTCTTTACATAATTAAACCATTGACCACTGGTACTTTATGTTTTACCAGCGCGGCAAATGCAGGGTCGTTTTTTAATTGAAATTTATGGATAATGAAGTGAAATAATTTGCAGACCAGCGGAGAAATTGGCCAGATTTATACGGGAAATGAGGAATAACGAGTGTGATCAATGATAAAGAGGCTCCGTCAAGCGACTCGTCAGCATTATTTCCTTCAGAAACAGCCACACGCCATCATAAATTGATCCACTACTTTGTTTTGTTTTATCTATTGAACTCTGTTGATTTTGAGGACTAGGGAGCCATTCGCTGTTGTTTTGGATTAGCGAATTCAAGTGCTGAGCAAAGCGCGCAGTGCTATTTGTAACGCAGAAATCGTTTGCTGCTGAAAATCCACTGCTCCAACACTGCATCTAACAGATAACATTCCAGTGAGCGATATTTTTCCATGTGCCACATGGGCAGCAATCCGGAAAAATGTATTCTGTGAGGAAAAAAGTGTTTCTGCGCGTCCGAGCGGAATATTGCCTTACATTCTCACGTGTTATGCGTGTTGTTCTTCCCAAATTTAAACAGTGTGAAACAGCTTTTTTTTTTTAACTGATAAATAGAGGAAGATTGTACCCGGAATCCACGCCATGGTCAGTGCAGTGACCATCGGCCATAGTTTTTTTTTTTTTGTAGTAGTTTATGTGCTCTCAGCCAAGATCGTCTTGCCTGACCGCTAGGCCAATGTTTGTCATTATATGACGTATTTGTATATATTTCTTTCTTTTATATTGCAATTCTTAAAACATATCATAAATTCGCGCCAATGTTCGTGCCAGCGCATTGCCTTAATTTGATGTGTTTTGGTTTTTTTTTATGATAAATGTTATATATACAAACACATACACATGAATGGGCTTGTTAACTTCGCTT